ATATATATATATATATATATATATATATATATATATATATATATATATATATATATATATATATATATATATATATATATTCAGGCATCGCTGTCGTTTATTAAAAATACAAATCTATATATAATTTTGTATTTTTAATAAGGTATAAGGTAAGGTATCTGGTAACACTTTATTTCGATAGTCCACTTTAGACATTCTATTAACAGTAAGTAACTTTGCCCTAAGCCCTGCATATATGAAGTTACCCTGGTAAAACGAGCCTGTGCCGCTCTTTATTACTCATCTAGTTAATGCTGTGAAACATTGCAGCTCTTTATAGTAGGGCCAGTAAAGGACACTGATGTGGTTCATGGTCTAATAAAGCACAGTTGTTATGGTCACATTTACATCAGCTGTCAAACCGTAGATTTTTTTGGTTGTTAACAGCTCTTTTTATATGAAGGAATAGTAGTGCCTTGTCTGACCGATCTGATGGCTCCTCTGAAACAGGAAAGCAGTTTCTGGAGAATGTGTGTCGCCACGCGGGAGGAGGGTCTACAAGTGGGTGATAAACTTCAGTCCGGCAACAATGGTGCTACTGTTGGACGAGATTTACACAGGTAATAATCAGTTCATTTTGACTGCTTTATATGTCGTCCAAACACAGGGTTCAACATTAAGGATCTTTCTGCTGGGTCAAAAGAGCAGGTCATTTCACTGAAACATTTTTTATAGTTAATACACTGTAAAAAAAAAAGAAAAGAAGATAATTGGTGTATGTTTTACAAAAATTACTATTTCAGTGTTTATTTCATTGTTGTGTTAATGTGTTACTTGCGGTTTCTTTGTAATTATTTATGAGTGAATTTAAAAAAAAAAAAAATACAATTTTTTTTTCACTCTATAAGGATTTCCTTACAAGAAAAATATAGAAACGATAACTTTTATTGTTAAAAGTGAAATATAATTTATTAATAATATGTAATATTTTAAAGTGATTAAAACAATTAAAAAAAATTAATAATAAAATAATAATAGGAATACAAATAATTAATGAAGTGTATTGAGGAACTCTAAATAAAATGATTTAAATTAAATAAAAATGATTAAAACTGTATTTTTGTAATTAATGTAATTAATTAAAACAAATTAAAATGCTTATTAATTAAATCATAATAAATGAATTGTATGGTGGAACTCTAAATAAAATTATTTACATTAAATAAAAATAATTATAATAATATTATTATAAATACATTTTCATTAATTAAAAGTAGTAAATGTTTATTAATAATAATAATAATAATGCATCTTAGTATAGTAGTAGTAGTAGTAAACGTAGTAATAAAATATTAATAATAATAAAAGAAAACACTTAAATCATTTAAATAAGACCCACACTGACCCTGGTCCATTAGTCCATCTTTACTGTTGAACGCTCTAACAAATGTCCTATTCACATGTTCCCATGAAAAATGCATGCGTCTAAACATACACCACACATACACACAGCTCTGTGCATATAACAGCACGAACGTAAGTGCCTTACTGCACATATTCTGTTGTTTTCTGTCTCTAGGGACACTTATATCTACTTTGGAGACAGACTTGCCCCATTTAACGGACAGATTATAAATAATCAAAGAAAACTGGAGGCTGACCCAGAGAAAAGGCCTGTGCCGAAGACTGTTTGTAGAACCACCAGTGCTGAAGTAAGACTTTATCAGCTGTTTGTCTATTAAAAAACATAAAAACATTCCTCTGATCTGATCTGAGGCCAGTTCTGTGGGTTGGGATAGATGAACGTCTATTCTAAGCATCCTGAAAATGTCAGACGACCAGCCGAGATCCCAAATAACTCCTACACTCCTACAAACTCAGCTATGCCTCTGACAGCGAAAACCAGGAGGTTATTTCTCTGAACAAACCATCTATTGTTCTTGTTTAATTTGAAAAATCCACAAAATGAGTGTGCTGTTTAGTTGAGAATGAATTAGCCATATTACAGAAATACTTAAACTAATCAGTGAGCTTCAAAAATATCATGAAACTGACTGCTTTGCAAAAATGTAGGAACTCTTATAAATCAGACTGCCTGAAACCGTTTTAATCACTGCTTGATTCTTTTCAGTAAAGTTAACCTTTACTATGGAGTTAAGCAAAGATATGTTATGTTTACTCAAACAAGATAAACATTACAAAAATAAAAAGAATGAATATCAACAACTTTCATGAGGTTTACATTAATTGAAGAAAATGTCAAAAAAATTTGTTTTATTTTTTTTAAACACTTAACTTTTTGTAACTTTTTGTTAAAATATGTTTTAAAATATATGTAAATATATTTTCTTGTAATATATATTTTTGGCCATTTTTTATGTATATTTTTAAAAGCATATATTTTGCCCTCTATACAGTATTTTAGTTCAAGAAAATACACATCTCACATTTAAAGAAAAACTTAATTTGTCTATAACACTTAATTTTGTTCCCCCAAAATTTTTGTATATATATATATATATATATATATATATATATATATATATATATATATATATATATAAAAAAATTTTGGGGGAAAAAAAATATGTG